GCTGTTCCATGACACAAGTGTACATGTCTCAAGCTCATATAACGATACCTCATAATTGTGAGAGGCATCGACGAGGTCTGTTCGCACACAGAGTGGCATTATCCTCAAGCTTTGTTAGAAGATCCTGTCGTACTGAGACAAAACACGAATGACACACCCTTGTCGGACGAACGAAGGGGTTCTGGATTCAAACTTCTGTGTAGATATGTATAGCAACCCCTGTTATTATAGTAACGCCCTTATAGTACCCATCAGGGATATGATTGAGGATGCTGATTTCATCCGTCAGGAACGGAGAGCCGGAAAGCCGATCATATGAGGAGCAAGCTTTCATCAAATATAGTAAGATCCAACCACCCACACTTTGAAACTCGGTGGCAATTGCAAAGCTGATGTTGGCAACCCTTCCTTTCGCAGCGTTTTTCACATCTCTTGAATTCGGGTTTTGCACACTGTCATCGGGTCATCAAGGCGCATTGGCACTTGCTTCAACCCATAAAGCATCGCTGTTTTGCCGAGCTGCGATGGCAACCTTGCCATTGGAAAATCTTTTCAGGAGGAACTTAGCCACTCCCTGGACTGATTTCAAGATTGCTCCAGTTCTTGGTGCACTCGTCTTGCTCCTCCTCATCTTGCTGGCCGTGTCCCCAAGCATCCTTCGTCCAGGGGCTGGAGGGCGCGCTTTGGGAGATCCAAGAGCTGCACCAGCTGGTCTGAGGGGTTTCATGTTCTTGCCAAGAGCTCCGGCTCCAGGAACCACGCGCGTCGTCCTGGCCTTGCCCTTCCAAGTCCAAGCTTGGTCTTCCTGGGAAACCTTCTGAGCGCCACTTCGCCTCCGTGTAAAGACCCATCCATCTCCATCGGCCAACTTCAGGAAAACCGTGCCGTCCTGGCCGGGCTTCTCTTCGGACACCGTTAAAACCTAGCCACACTTCAGGAATCCAACGATCCCCTTGGCGCCATGTCTCATCCAATCCCTGTCGCCACACGCACCTCCATTGGGCAACGTCGCGGCTTGCGACTGTATTTTCCTTCATCTGACACTTTTGCCGGCTTTACCTCTTCTTTGCTTTCCTTGGACTCCTTGCCTTGTCAGCCTTCGTTAAAAATCTGTTGCAAAAGCAGCTTCACGATGTCGGAAGGACTAGGCTTTGCGGCCTCACTGTCAGATTCGGAATGCTCTGGCGATCTTTGGCACGGCGGGGTTCGTGTCTCTTGACTGTCCGGATTGTGTGGAGTGTGCAAGGAAGCAAGAAGCTCTTTGAGCTCCGCAGCTTCCTTCTCCAAGTCTTGTACTTTCATCGTTTGTGTCTTGAGCTGTCTTGCAGCTCGGTGATCAAACAACCACGTTGTTCTGGATCTCGCAACATCGAAACCATATCATCCTTCAAGTTGTTCATCATGCCTGCGATGCGTTCTGCCAACATTGTCAGCTGAGTGCGGCCGCAGCGGCACGTCTAGCAAAGCTCTGAGCCAGAAGTGCCTCGAGACATGGTAACTGCAAGATGCAAGCAGTCTCCAGGCTACTAGTCGTCTGCTACTCGGCAATGCACAATCAGGTGTCTCATCGATTTCGAGACAACGCCTGCAACCGAGACCATTCTCAACCCGGGCACAGCTGCACGCCCGAGCAAGCCTCCATTCCGTTCTTCAAACGATCCAGGAGGCTCTGGCCTGTGAGAGCACGTCAGCACATCTCAGCTACAAGCATAGCTGACTGCCAGCTTGCGCTACCCGCTACCCTTCCAGGCCGCCCAACACCAGACTGCCGGAGAAGCACCGTCCTGTCCATGGGGAAAATCATGGTTCCACCCATCTGACTGCTGGTGCCGTCCTGGTCCATATGCTGCAGCACCGCAACTGGCACCTCAAGCCTTGGCTGCTTTAGCACCAAAGTCTGCTGCGTCCTCAGGGTTTGGGCTAGGCGACGGTGGCAACGAGGCTGCCCGCTGGTCGACCTCCTTGGGAAGAGAACAGAGCAAAAAGGGATGCAATCCGGTGGAAGGAAAAGCTGCATCTGGGTAGCTGCTAACACGGCGACGTACTTTGCAAGCTTCTGCCTGAGGGCCTCATGGCAACAGGGATCACAGCAGGCTTATGAAGGTGTGGAGGATGCCTCATCTGCTTCACCTTGCTCAAGTGAGTCCAGAAGGTCTGTGATCACTCTGAGTAGCCTCGCAGTCTTCGCCGCGAGCACGGCGACATTTCGAAGACAGCAACAGTCACTGGGCCACCAGCTGCTGTAGCGACACCTGGCTTTGGCTTAAGCACATCTGAAGCACAGATCTCCATGATGCCTGCAGCTTGTCACATTGCTCCGCAGAGACTGCAGGCACCGCACTTGCTTCTGCAGCGCGGGATGATTCCGTCATTATTGACCAATCTCGACTAAAACCGCTTGTACCATCTTCTCCTGCATCTGACGCTTGTGCTGCTAGGCCAGACAACCCTTACTTCCTGCGGTGTATGACCATGCGCAACCGTGTCCATCTCTGCGAAATTCCTCACTAAAGCCTGCATCGGCGACATGTTCAGCCGCGATAGGGCGACATCTTGAAGAGCATGCGAAGACCACAGTATGTGTCATTTTGTCTCACGGCCGGTCGATGAAAGGATTCGTCGGTCGTTCTCCGTCGGCACTTGTGGCCGGCAGGAATGGATTTGTGGGAGGTTTCCGGCTCCTCTCAGGGCAGCATGTTGGCGGGTTGCTAGGGCAAGCTGCTCTCGTCCATGCCTTTGCGCCGGAAGCGTAGCAAATGCAGCCGGCATATTTGCCTGGAGATCAACAGAGCAGAAATGGATTCAAACACAGATTCAGCCGGGCGCCCGGCAGGTCGCAGTGCATGTGCGGCATGGGCCGACCATGGGCGACGCCGCTCAGGCTGCTCAACCGCATCCCGACAACCTGCAGATGTGCATGGCTGGCAGTTGAGTTGGATTTTGCTTCACTCGCCTTGGTCGCCGAAAACTGTCCATCCAGGCCGCGATGGACTTGGGCTCGACAGAACAGCTACAGGGCCTGGAGCAAGAAAGCGCAAACACCCTTCAGCCCATCTCTCTCGTTACAGCTCCAGCCTGCAGTGTTCGGCGATCCCGGCACAGAGTTTGCCTAAGCAGGCAGATCTAGCCGCTCTGAGAAATTCAGAAACGCTTGCACTATTTACACAATTTGCACATCAAGGAGCCACTTTGCAATCCCGAGAGATCTGATCTATACGAACCTGAGCTGTCGAGATTCGAAGTTGTGTAAGAGGTTTTTGCTACGTGCCCACCAGAGACACTGTCGGCTTTGGACAGTCTTTGCCGGCGTCCTGCAACTTTACCTGCTGCACACGGCATCACGCGATCCTGCCTTCGATTTGCTAAGCTGAGCCCGAAGCCGCTGCACAAGATGGCCCCTGCTGAAACGGATTCGCCTGACGTGACAAAGCTAATAGCCAGTAGCATCCGAAACCCGAAAGCGCAGACGGCCGATGGCGGACCCTCTCCAAAGCCGCCCAGGCGAAGGGAGGAACCTCCACACCTGCACGATGTGCAACATGTGCTCGAGCTCGTCTCCACCCGGAAGAACGGCCTATGGACAGGTCTTCCTTGTCGGCTCTGACCAGGTCGAGGGTGCCGAAGCCATGCGCCAGCCACAGCACGCCCTCTGCCTGCAGCAGTAGCCCGCAGCAGCCCGCAGCCGTAAGTTTGCAATGCAGCCTCTGTCTGCGCAACGGCTCTCTTGCGAAGGTCTGCCACACCTCATGATCAAGATCCTATCGCGTCCCGGCAAAGAGGGCTACGAATTGGAAGTCTTGTAGCCGAGTAGATGGCGAAGGTCCAACCGAAGGGGCAATGCCTCAATGTCAAGGATGGGAAATATGTCCAAGAGAAGTTTGTGCTCCACTGCCCTAAGTAAGACCCGCGCGGCAAGCTTGTCATGGCGGGGCGCCTCTTCAGAAAGCGCTTCAATGCTTGCAAGGGGGACACCAGCTGAGGTTGCAGCATACAGACCAACTGCGCAAAGACCATCACCGCCTGATACCTCGGCGCCAGCATGGCTACCAGCGGCATCCTCTGCGGCTGCTGTCTTCCGCCGTGCAGACTCTGGGCCTGCGACGCCTTGCGGATAGAAGCGCAGGAAAAGTGGGCCTTGCCCTCCAAGCCTCTGAGCGTCTCTGCACGCTGTTGCACGGGGGGTTCAAGATGTCAAGAGGTCGGAACCGGAATTCTGGGGAATCCATCCAGATGCCTTTTGCATCGCTGGAATTCATGGCCAAATACCTTAAGTTTAGAGGCAAAAGCCGCCAAGGGAAGCTGCCCCTGCGCTAGAGGAAACCCAGGCTGCCGCTCGACACGCTGATGTGCCCGTGGCACCATCCACTCATGGCTGATGCCCTGACCTCTGCACTCTGCGCCATCTACAAGCCGGAGGACTCCTTGAAACAAGCCCCGCCGATTCAGAGTCACTGAGACAAGCACGCTGCAGTTCCTGCAAAGCTTTGGTCAATCTCGCGCTCTCAGACTCCAGCCTCAGCCGCAAAACCCCACGACACTGGTCAGCTCACGAACAAGCCAAGGCTCCGGCGCCTGGACTGACTTACGCTGAGAAGCCTGAGGAGCAGCATCTTCGGAATCTTGCAGCTTCGGCAAAATCAGCAATTCTCTTCAGCATTCCGTCAACGTGACCTGGATCTCGTGTCGAATCTCTTGAACCTGCAAGCAACTTGAGAGCGCGCTGCTGTATTGACCCTCCAGTCCGACACTTTGCAAAGTGCTGGCAGCGGGTGAAGTGACCATCTGTGTCGCCTCTGGTCTCCAGGTTGCCTCCAGCGCCCCCGTTGCCTGGGACAAAGACCCTGCCATCTTCTCAGCTCTCTCGCCTCTCTCTGCATAGATTTGTTCTGCCTTCTTCGCTTCTTCGACCGCCTCCTGCACAGTGATACTGTTGCTACAGCTACAGCGACACGTCCTGCGATCTCTTGCTCCTCCATGAGGCGCCGGGAACTCTTGTCGAGCTCAGCCAGTCGGCTCCCCAAATCCACGGACTCCGAGCGGCCTGAAGGACACACAGCACACACAGCACACACAGCACACACTCACACACACACGCCCTCTCTTTGTGTCGCACTGCATTCCACCTGCCGTCCCCCAAGCGCCCAGCGCAGCTTCGAGGCGCCTTCGAAGTCCGCGCGAAGCGCGCCGAGGGAGGTCTCGGCGGCCTCGAGAAACTGAGAGGACGGCAGGGGCCCTCCGTGCCCTTCAACCGTTGAGGCTTCGCCTCCACTCGGCCGTGCAGGGTCTGGGCCTCGGCGATCCGTGGCCAAAAAAAGAGCCACAACTAAAGCACATATTTGAAGGGAGCCACTGCATGCCACAGTTCTTCTCTCAAGCGACACTCACATCGGCAAGGCCCGACAGCCCCAGTGCCTGCCAGGGAGGATAGCTGTCTCATGGGCCTTCCGAATCTGAAGTATGATGTTCGTACTATGGAGAAATAACCTAATCGTTTTGGAAAACCTCTGTCGGACACTGCCGCTTGTCATATTCCGACACCAGTCATTCTTTGGTGAGCTTCTCGGCTTCACGCAGTAGAGAAGACAAGAGGTCAAGAGCTTCCTCCTTGCACACCTGTCTCAGTACAGTACGAGATGAGACCGATATCTCCGGAGGCATCGATACTCGATCTTTGGGGTATGCCATTCTGTCCTGAAGAGACTACACGATTCAGCTCCGACGATGTTGAACTCCATGGTTTCAACGGCTTTGGCATATGTTGAAAGCCTTCCACTGAGATTCGCAGACTTGTAAAACCACTGGCCACTTGCATCTACCAGTTTCGGCAAGTGCACAAAAAAACAAGATGTTTAAGAGGAATCGTGGCTTAAGCTGCTGCGATATCAAAGCCAGGCTGCGAGGGGTGAACCCTCCATGAAAAATGGGACAACTCACTCTCCAGCAGGCGAATCATGTCGTTGCGGCCGGGCGCCATTTTGCACGACAATGCTCAGCAAGAGCAGCAAACGAGCTTGATAAGAGTGAAAGACGCGCGCGAGTGCGACCTCTGTTGCGGGTGCAATCGCACTCGAGGGCAAGTGTCAGCCCAAAAAGGGAAAGGCATCCCTCCGAAAGCGCTCGATCTCTTTCCCTCTTTCTGCCGGGCATAGGGGTCGTCTACGAGCGCTCCCTCTTTCTTTCATTTCTTTCATTGGGCATGGGGAACGGTTAATGTCCCCCGGCCTAGTGGCCCCCACATGTTATGGGGCGTTGGGGAGACGTGAAAAGCTGTGGGACACTGCACTCGTGGGTGACTCATTCTTCGAAGCGCTCTCTCTCTCTCTCTCTCTCTCTCTTTCTTCCGCCAGGGCTGTGGGCAGGGGGGAAGCCCCCCTTGCCTCTCTCTCTCTTTCTTTCACCAGGGCTAGGGACTCTCTCTCTCTCTGTCTGCAGAGCTTAGGGGTCGTCTGCGCGACCCTCAGGCCATTGGCCGGCCCGACCAGTTTCATGGAGTGGCCGCCATTGGGGTCTTTTCTGACCGTGGCAACAGAAAATAAAGTCGACCCCGTGCTTTATTCTCTCTCTCTTCTTCCACGCAGCCAAGAAGCAGCAGCTCCCTCCCCCCGCACACGTACATGCCCTTGTCTTTTCTTTATTTCTGCAGGGCTTAGGCTCGTCCGTGCGACCCTCAGGCCTGTAGGGACAATGTTTTGGGCACAAACTGACTTCAAGCTGAGCTTTGTCATGCCACTCTCTCACTCTCTCTTTGCTTTGCTTTGCTCCGGGTTGGCGCCAGGATCCCCTGGCCCGCGCCGAAGCGCTTCCCTATCCACCATTTTGGTAGTAGGGCTTGGCTGTGCAGCGACTTGGCGGGTCTGCCGTTTTGGCAGGAGCGGGTGCCTCCGTGGGGGCTCTCTGCCTTTCATTGGGCGTAGGGGGCGTGTCAAACCCCCTTGGCCCCGCATGGTGGCAGGGGAGCAAGCAGTTTCGGGTATGATGTCTACGTGAGCGGAGATAGGCAATATGCAATATAATATCTAATCCAAACTTCGACCCCCTCTCTCTAGTCTATTCTATTCTATTCTCCGGGGCGTAGGGTGCGAGTCAGGCACCCCGCACCGTGAGGCGCACCCCTGTTTCGGGGCTTTGTAGGGGTAGAAGAAAGTACGGACCCCCTCTCTCTCTCTCTCTCTCTCTCTCTCGCTCTTTTTTCTCTCTGTGATACTGTTGCAGCACTTTCGCAGGGCGAGGCGTGAGGCATGAGCCACGGCGGTCAGTTCTGCGGACGTCTTGTCGTGTTTGGACAGACCTGGGCAGCAACGATGCATGGACACGCATCCAGCTGGTCTGCCTTTTTTCAGGGAGTGGCTTTCAGCGAACTTCTCGGCGAAGAGTTCTTGCAGAATCTCGCGGTCACGAGCTCCCACGCAGCATGTCAAAGCACTGGCTCCATACGGGCCTGTCTCTGCTGAGCACACTCCGCCCGATGGGCCCAGGAGGCCTCTCGCAGGTCAGTGGCGTCTTGGCGGCTGAGCTGCGTGCACTGCGCCTCGGAGAGCTCAGCCAGGGCCTCCGAATTCTGCCGGAAGGCCTCCTGCGTGGCCTCGGCTTGGCCTGCCCACGGGTTTTCAGCATCCGCGCCGACTTCCGGGCACTTTGCAGAGGACCTCCGACAGCCTTCAGCCGCTGGCTCTCTGCCTGGAGCTGCTCCTGGCATTCGTCGGAGCTGCTTGCGCCAGCGCCGCGCTGCCGGACCTCCAGGTCTCCGATCTTTGGACCAAGAGCATCATCGACCTCGAGTCGTCGAGGCGACGGAAAAAGACGAATTGAAACATGCCAAATATGCCAACGGCTATGTGGAGCTGTGCTTGGGTTCGCTCTTCCAGCTTCAAAGACGCCAGACACTGATGCAAGTCAGCATGATGTTCGGCGCCTGTCTCCTTCACCTCAACACAAAAAGAAATGAAGCGCAATTGTTGGATAATGTTTCGATCTGCTGGCTACGTGCCTCTTGAAGCTCGCTTTGAGAAGCTTCCAGGCGCAGTGAGAAAGTCTCCGCCACGGCCGCAGCATCCTCCGGGCCACAGTTTTGAAGGTTCTGAAGTCATGGCACATCCAGGCCCTTCCAGATCTGCTCCTCGGCACCTTTGGCCATAGCCACCGCGGCTTTCGCCTGGTCGGCAGAAGACTCTGGGAAAGCTGGACAGAAGCCATCAGCTCCTGCAAGCCCATCTCAGCGGCTGCTGCTTCCAGTGAGGAGCGTTGGCGCTCCACCTGGGAGCCGCTCACGAAGATTCGCAACAACGTGGGCTGGGCTTTGTAGCTATTGCTTCGGGGGGCTTATCGCTAAAACGATTTAGGTTCAAGCTTCTTGAGGGCTCCCACCTTCTGGGTTTAGGTCGAGCCCCACACCGCCTCCTTCAGCAGTTGGCGCCTCAGCTCTGCCAGCTTCGAAGCCGCGGCATCGGCTACCTGCAAGACACGGGCAGATGGCAGCTGCTTGTGAAGGTGCGGGGGAAAGCAGCCTGGCCTCTCTCGCCACTTCCGCTGCGGCATTTCGTGCTGCAGCTTCAGCGGCGACGACGAGACGCAGTCCCAGCTTCTCCAACCTAAGAGCAAAGGTCGGTCATGGTGCGTTGTCAGTTCTTTCTGGTGGGCCCTTGGATGCTGGCTTCGAGGAACTCGCGTCCTCAGGCTCTTCCTCCCGCAGCTCAAGTCCGCTCTGCTCCCAAACTCTTAAACCCTCCGTCTTCCCTGAACGTGTCCGCGCCTTGCCGGTGCAAGCCGAGGAGCTCCCGCGCAGCGAGAAGCCGCGGGATCGGCCAGGGCCCAGGCCGTCGCCCCCACACGGCCCGCGAGGCGAGTGCGGCGAGTCCGGTCCGATCCCTCTTTCTCCGAGCGCCTCCGGAAGCTCCTCGTCCTCCTCCGACGCTTCCTCGGCGTCTCGCAACTCCTCCAGCTCCGCGTAGGCAGGCGGGTCACCTGCGTCACCGTCCGCTTCGGCTTCACTTGACAGCATTCGACCAAGGGCCATGCCTTCTCGGCTGCTAAAACGGCATGCCCTCAGCGACCGGCATTGAACAACGCTGGTGCCGAGCAGACAAACCGATGAGCCAACGACCTTCGAGGTTGAGCAGCTAGCGCTGCAGCGGCTGCTGAGGCACTCCGTTCAACACGGAGAAATGCCTGTTTGCGCACACGGTGCACCTCTCTCAACCAGAGCCTCTGACAAGCCCGCCTCCGACATGGCCTTGTGAACCTGAGATGTGCAACTTACCCGCTACATGAAAGCATGAGATAATTATGCATCTCTTACCCGGCCTCGACAGAGAAGCCACCGTCCGCGAAGCGCATTCCCTTGCTGTACCCGCGGTGCGTTGGCCGACAAACAGAAGCTGCAGCGGCCAAAATCTCTGTCTCCCACCGCCACTTTGTCAGCCAGCACTGGCAACTCCCACACGCAAACTGACAGCCACTGGCAATAGTGTTGCCTCTCGCAACGTTCCAGTGGCAAGACCTATGTACATCGTCGAACTACGCTTGCAGAACGATGGGATGTGGCACATCTTGTGCGGCCATCTTGCAGGCATCAGGTCGTGTGCCCTTGTATGCCTCGCAAACCTTGAGCGGCTGGAAGCTTCAAGGAGGAGACAGTCTCTCAAAGGTCTGGACAGCGACGACACACATGGGATCGCGAATGCCAAGAGGCCGTCCGCAACAAATTGTCGGGCTGGTCGACAGGCTGTCCGTTCACCACGAGATAGGGCACGCCTAGTTGGCGAGGCATTGCGCGTGCAAAATGCTTAGAGTTAGGATTGCCTTCGTCTCTCACCGTCGTGGACCAGAGGAGTTTTGCAGTTTATGGATATTGAAAAAATTGAAGTCCAGGAGTCTTGATAAGTCCTAGCTTGGAGGTTGAGGCCTTCGCCAGCGAACAACCAACTTCAAGATGCAAAGGATTTCTCCTCAACTGCCACCCCCTGCGCAAAAGTCGACTTGCCTGGGTGCTCTGGCGTCGCTTTCGCCTGTGCGATGACGGCGGAATCACCCTCCGAGCCGGAAAAGCCTTGACACGATTGCACAGCTTTCAAGCCACTGCGTTGTAAATTGAGCAAGTCATAAAGACTTAAGACCGTCGCAATGGGAAACCGCGGCTTTGTCAATCTGGTTGGCATCTGCACAGGCTGAAACCGTCTCCTTCGCAACTTCGGCAGGCTTGACATTTACAATGCAGGCCCAGTGCAACAAGCATAGCAACCAGCCGCACATGCTCACAGTCGGCACTTTTTGCAACAGATACCTTGGAGAACGTGTCATACTTTGCCTCGACGCCTCAGGATCATCCCATGCTTTCATGATGTATTGACGGTTGGCACACACATGCGACCTTGCCAGACATTGCAACACTTTTCCAAGGCATGGACAGTGGGCGAAGGACATAAACTGCAGCACGTGCTCGCCAGCGACTTGCTTCGCACAGGCCATGTACCGGTTTGCGTCGCACTCTTGGCTGCCATGCTGGCAAACAAGTGCACCGGTGAAGCAATCCTCAAGGCAAGTATGCGATCCCCACACAGAAGGGCACATCGACGCTTAGAGGGGCATCCTTCGCAGGCTGGGACGCTCCAGCACCACAGTTCTTGTTGAAGCACTTACGCGCCGTCATGTCCTGGGCGTCCGGGACAGTGGCGACAGTCTTGGGATGTTGGTCGACTTGCGAAAGGCAAGAACCAATTGCAACAAGGCCAGCGGCACAGAAGCCATCATAGTCGGAAAGCCAAGTCACATACTCTCCTGCTCCCTTGCATTCGCTTGTGACGAAATATGCATTTCCGAAGGGATAGAACTCGAAGTCCTTGCGCACAACCCGCAACAGACAAAGAACAGATATCCCGGCAGCGGCCCTCAAGCCCTGAAGCTCAAGCTAAGTGCTAACTGTCCATGATGGCCGCAACGCTGGGTGTCGACAAGGTCTTGTTGACCTAGGGATCATCAGAACGCATCCTTCGTTGAACAGGCGTGTTCGTTTGTCCTAAGGCGGATGCCGGTCCGGCAATGGCTTGTCGGCAAAATGGACAGCCAGCTTCCGCAAAGAATTCGACTTTCACCTGGTCCGCAGTATCATGTCAGGCTCCCACGAAGTCTCTGTCGGTCTGTGGCGCCTTCGGCGCATCTTCCGCACTGGCCGTCGCGGAGATGACAGCGAGGCACAGGAGCTTCAACGCCATGGCGAACTACGCAAGTCAGCGGGGGCAGTGGACAATAGCAGCTGCACAGAGTTGCATAATCGTGGAGCCGATGCAAGGGCAGGCTGTCGCAAAGCGAACCTCCTCCACTCTAACCAGGCGGTTGTCGAGCCTTGCAGACACGGCCACGACTTTGGAATACTCTGGGATGCTGAAAAAAGACATCGCACCTCTTGGGCCTGGACATTTCCAGCCGCCGGTTGGTTTCAGAATGCATGCTTTCCAGCCTCACATCCTTGGCACTGCACACCGCGGTTCAACTTGTTGCTCCTGCCCTTTCATGAATGTAGAACTCGGTGGCAACCTTTCAGGGACAAACCTCGCTTTTGGCAGGTGCAACCATGAGGCCCCATAGTAGCACTTAACACGCAGGTGCCCATCGTCTTGTCATCATATGACACGCGTGTATGTATATGTATGTACGTATGTATGTACGTATGTATGTATGTATGTATGCTTGTATGTATGTATGAATGTATGTATGTATGTGCGCTTGCTCGTAAGCATGTACGTTCGCACGTACGTGCATAAGCACGCACGCGCGCATGCATGGCATGGCATGGCATGGCATGGCATGGCATGGCATGGCATGGCATGGCATGGCATGGCATGGCATGGCATGGCATGAGATCGGAA